CAGGGAGGCAACTAAATGAAGCTTGTGCTGAGACAGTAATGCTGCCTTAAATCCTTTCAGCCCTAGGAGATTCTTTAAAAAAAATCCAATCACAACTGTTACATATGGCATGGCATGCTGTTGGAACTAAACAAACACAAAGCATTAAACAACAAGATACTATGAAGCAGCACACTTTGAAGTGACCTTCTGCAATGGAAAAATGTGCTGAATTCTGTCCGAATTATTCACTAAGATATATCAGATTAACATATTAGAGTCTTCTATTACACATTATACCAATATATTATACACCAGAGTGTGCATTTGGCTGTATGTAAATGTAGCGGCGAGCCCTTTCTAGAATTATACATCAAATATTTGTGTTAACAAGCACCTCTTGATCACATATGGGATCACAACAAATTATTTTAGAAAAGTTTGGCATAACAGAAAACCTGAAAAAAGAAAAAGGACTAAAATTGTTTTTAAAAAGGGAGTGGGGCTGGCCACAATTGTTTTTAGTGATGTCTAACAAGGCCTTCCATTAAGCCAATTGAAACAGAACTATTTTTTTCAGACAAAAATAGAGCAAAATAGGAGGAGACCATCAAGCAAACAGAAATGACCTCTAATGGAATTCCATGAGGTGGAGTTTGGGGATCAGACCCAAACTCTATCTCATGGAATTCCATTGGATCTTTCTAGAAGATGGAGCTGCTGGTGGTGGGTGGAGGATGGAAGCTCTTGCAGTGACTGATAGAAAAGAAACTTGTGGAAAGGGTAGTGTCTGAACCTATGCCTGAGAAAGAAGCAGTAACTCGAGGGCCAGGATTGGAGTCCTTAGGATAAGAAGGCAAAACATTAGCTTGTGTGACAGAGTTACTAGTAGATAGGGAATTGAGCAAAGGGAAAGTATTAGGAAGCAAAGAGGCTCCTCGGAAATGAGGTGACTAAAGCACAATGATGATCAAGTCTTTCACCACCTTTTTGAAAATGAGGCAAATTGAAAGAAGATGGGGCCAATGCAGGTCATGTGGACCCAGGGCACAGAGAAAGTAGGCAAAAGAGAAGGCGGCAATTCTGGCTAGGGAAAACAAAAGCTTCATTACGATAAGTTTCTCCTTTAAGGAGGTGTAGGGAGTTTTTCCATCATATTTTGGTATCCCACTGGTTCAACTGAGGCCAAAGAGAAGCCTTTTGTTTGACATCAGTCCAATTTGTATTATTAAAAAGAAGCTCTCTTGGACCTAAATTGGCCCTGGAAGCTCCAAAACGTGATATCTGCTCCCCTGTTACACAAAAACAGATGTTTATTTTCTCCTCCTCCCTCTTCTTTGCAGGTGGTGTAGCTTTCCAAGAGCTCCTAGGGCTAATGTGTCCCCCTGTCCATCCACAGTTGCCCAATTCTGATTTGCTACCTGCAATTGATTTAGAATTTTTGTGACGGCTTTCAGTAAATTATTATAGAGGAGAAGACCAGCAGGATATAAAAATGAACTATATTAATCAATAAGTGGGAAGGAAACCTGTCCCCACATTTCCCTCATTTATTCACAAATGGGTCTAATCAGGAGACAGGGACAGCAAAGAAAGGCTCCTCCGGCTACAGATGCCAATGAGGGATGAGTCGTTAAGCCATGTTAATTTCTCTCTCACTATCACTGGAACAATCACACAGCCTTCACAGCACAAGAAAAGAGGCAGAAGAAAGTGCCCAGATACTTTTGATGTAATCGCCGCTTTGAAGTCTACCTTGTCTAACCTAATTATTGAAGCTGGAAAAATTCTTGTTTGCTGCTTTAAGCTCTCTCGGGGTGAAAGTAATTTGTCGATCTGTCTGAATGGCATTTCTCTCCGATTCCAAAAGTGTGAAGGAGCAACGGGTGGGAGGGAGAGAAGCAATAAAGATAAAACTACAAAATCACAAGAAGCAGAGGACCTCAAAAGGATTAAGTAAACCTTTTTAGGATGTCTGTGAGGAGGCGAGGAGCAAAATGTGTCAACCCATTCCTCATTTACGGTGTAAAGGACACATTGCTAACTTTTTCCTTTTTAACTGAAAGAACTAAGGGTTGTGGTAGACTTTTGCATGTCCCCAGAAAAATCTGGAAGACTATGGCAACTCCCTGTTTAAAACCCTTTGGATCTTTGAGGTGCTTTTCTGCAAGACATTGAAAACTAAAGCATGCCCTTTTATGCTTCGACAGTTACAGCGATGAGACCGTTGAGACTATAGCAAATGCTTTAGCCTTGCTGGTACTTTTTACCTTTGTGGCTCTTATGTTTCTCTTTTTACAAGGAGCAATTGCTTCAGGGAGCTATTTTAGCACCTCTAACAGAGTCTTCATTTCATTTATTTCAAATTATTGGGCACCTTTAAAACCTTTTTGAGGCAGCTTCACACAGTATATCACAACATGACCTATTTTAAATTGCTTATCAGAAACCCCAGATGTTAGAAAAGAAAAACTCAAAAGTGCTGAAATATGTAAGAATGAAAGTGTCAATCAGAGGGAAACCTTGAAGAGAGGCTTTAGTGAAAATCACACAGCTTTCCAGATGTTATTGGACTACAGCTCTCGACAGATCAAATCAGTATAGCCAATGCTGGGGAATGCTGGGAATTCTAGTTCAACAACCTCTAGAGCAGTGATTCCCAACCTTCCTAATGCCGTGTCCCCCTAATACAGTTCCTCATGTTGTAGTAACCCCCAACCATAAAACTATTTTCGTTGCTTTTTTAACTGTAATTTTGTAACTATTATATATCATAATTTAAATATGCAGGATGTATTTTTGTTCACTGGACCAAATTTGGCACAAATACCTGATAACGCCCAAATTTAAATACTGGTGGGGGTTTTTTTTGGGGGGGGATCGATTTTGTCATTTGGAAGTTGTAATTGCTGGGATTTATAGTTCACCTAACATCAAAGAGCATTCTGAACTCAACCAATGATGGAATTGCACCAAACTTGGCACACAGAACTCACAACCAATAGAAAATACTGGAAGGGTTTGGTGGGCATTGACCTTGAGTTTTGGAGTTGTAGTTCACCTACATCCAGAAAGCATTGTGGACTCAAACAATGATGGATCTGGACCAAACTTAGCACTAATACTCCATTTGCTCAAATGTGGACACTGGTGGAGTTTGGGGGAAAATAGACTTGACATTTGGGAGTTATAGTTCACCTACAATCAAAGGGAAATCTGAACGATCGAATTGTGCCAAACTTCCCACACAGAACTCCCATGACCAACAGTGTTTTTTTAATGATCTTTGGCGACCCCTCTGACACCCCTTCACGACCCTCCCCCAGGGGTCTCGACTCTCAGGTTGAGAGCAAATGTGAACACTGGTGGAGTTTGGGGAAAATAGACTTGACATTTGGGAGTTGTAGTTGCTGGGATTTATAGCTCACCTACACTCAGAGCATTCTGAACCCCACCAATGATACAATTGGGCCAAACTTCCCACACAGAACCCCCATGACCAAAAGAAAATACTGTGGTTTCCTGACGGTCTTTGGTGACCCCTCTGATACCCCTTTGCGACCTCCCCAGGGATCCTGACCCCTAGGTTGAGAAACGCTGCTCTAGAGGAACATATGATTCCCACTACCGTTTGAATCCAAAAGAAATAGACTTTTAAGAAAAGTCAAGAACTAATTTACCCAGGTGAAGCAAAATAGGAAGGTGGATGCAAATCTGGAAGAAAGAAGAGGAGAAACAGCATTTCCCCAATAAGCTTGGATTTTCAAAAAGAAAGGGTCACATCTATATCAGCTTAGAATCAATTGTATGGTTTTCTTCCTCTGGGTTTGTTTCACACTGAGACAGAAAAATTCAGCTAGCTTCAAAGGGTGGCAGCCAGACAACAAACCCCCAAAGAAACATATGAAAGAAAGGCCTTGATGTGCATCAGTGCTCTGTGGTACAATCACCATTTGAGCCTCAGACTAGTTCCTGGATTTCCTATGGAATCAGTCACCTGCACAGTGAAACAGCTTTCTTCAATGCTGGTTTCAAAGTGCATTAAATGGTCACTGTAGATTGGGTTGAAGATAGTTATCTCAGAAAATCTTCAAAATCCTAGTGGCACTCCACTTTCACAGGCATTAGAGGTGCAGTCCCCCTCTTTGCAAAAGTGGGAAAACTGTGAGTATCTTGGTGGGGGGGGGGTGTATATGCCTGGGCACAGTGGTCCCAGGAAGAGCAGGTAAAGTGAAGTGCCACTTCACTTTCTGGATGGATCCAAGTCCCTCTCCTCTTCCTCTGTGCTTCAAGTGTCTGTGTTGCCTGGGCAAAGGGAAAGTGGTACCAAGCAAAAGTGAAACATTCAGCACACCCATCTCCCGAATAGCCACTCCTTTCACATCTCCTGTGGACAGAGTTGCCATGTGAATGTTCATATTGTAGTCCTGATTTTGGGAGTCTAGTGCAGCCAAATGGTAATCTCTCAGCTCCCCCTTCCCACACACACACACACCCCTTCTGAGGAGGGGGCAGATGTGTGAAAGTTCACACAGCAGCCCCAACTGTTGGGAGGCAAGAATAACAGCACAAGCCCCTGAATAATAAAAACCCCAAGTGTGAAACCCACAAATGTGGAACACCAGCTGTAGTCTGGGATTTCTCTATTTGAAGTTGTAGAATCTGAAAAGAAAAAGCAATGAAACCACAGCACACCCAAAATACTCCCAAAACCACAATGAAGAGAAATGAGACATTCATACCAAAGGGATTACTAAACCACAGCACAATAGGGAAAATGTTAGCTGATTATTTCAGGTGAGGAAAATGATATCCAAAGGAGACAACACAGGTACAGCATGACACAGCATTGGCAAAAAACCATATTTTTGCTCCAGGCAAAAATGAGACTAAGATAATTGCAATTTTTTAAAAAACAGAGTACATTTCTGCATTCGCAATCCTGAAAATTTAACTTTTTGTGCAAGGAAACAAAGTTATAAAACACAAAGACGTGGGGAAAAATTGCATGGTGCACTTACCTAGCACTTTCAAAAGTTGCAGATGCTGACTTTCCAATAGCACCAAATCCAACGCCAACAGCCAAACCCTCTGAAACAAGAAAAAGAAAGCAACTGTTAATAGCCCTGTGGTGTTATTGCATTAAAAAAAGAAGCTGTGTATTCCTTCCTTGGAATAAAAAAACAACCCTGAAACATTTATAGAAGGAAAACATGATTTCATATCAGCTGCTTTGAGTGCCATACTGAGAAGAAACCAGGATATGCAATCTATCAATCAATCAATCTGAATATGCATATCCAGATCCACTTTCACTGTGGATTGCTCATTTGGCTCCCACAGGATTAGTATGTACACATATTTTTATGTGTGATAGGGCTGCACATTTATATCCAAATAGCATAGTTCAACTGCATTTAGTATGTGGTACTGTAATTGGAATGCTTTGGCAAATATGTCAAGAAGTTTTAAAATGCAGGTCTGGAGCCACTTTACTCAGAGAACATTTCTTGCCTGTATGTTTTTCTTTCTAATGCTGTAAGTACTGCATCCCGCCCCCCTCCTGAGTATATAATTCATAAAAGGGCAAAAGCTCTTAAAACAAGTTGTTGTAAGTAGGAATTAAATTCTGTTGCCACTATACTTGCTCTACTGATTACAATGAGACTTATATGCAACTTGAATAAAAGCCTTAAGCCATGCTGGAAAAAGCCAAGGAGTCAATTTGTTAGTCTTTAAAGGCTCCTTGTTGTTTTTGCTGGAATAGACTAACAAGATTACGTGCTCTAATTGAACCACAGAGCAGACCTGACCTTCTGAGAGCGCTATATTTGTTGCTATATTTGCTGTAGTGATTCAGCTTTATCGGTTAGTACACAAACAAGCACAAACAATTGGGCACAAAGACTGTTCTTTCGATGCAGCATCATAGGCAGGGACAATCAACATTGCAACACAACCCACAAGAAATCAGTCTTCACAACTGAACTAATTCTACAGAGGAAGAAACACACTTCAAAACAACTTCTTTTTCTGGACCAACTCACTTCTTATTTGATCAAGTAGTATAGTGGAGCCAGGGATAGAGATCCAGAACTTCTTAATCAACAGGAATTTTGACGTTATTAGTACACCCCATTCCCATTCATTGTCCATCATGTCCCCTGATCTCCTCTGTTCCCAATAAGCTTAGCTGAAATGTATAGAGAAGAGGGAAATCGATTTTCTCAGTGGCAAAGCCTTTAAATGCAAAAAATTAGGTATGGTTTGATTTTGCAGGATCAATTAAACACAGCTTTACAAAAGAGCTGTTGATGCTGAAAACCACTAGAATCCAATGGACAATGGTCAATGCTCCAATACAGCCACTTACACTTTTGAACTCACTTGTAAGTATTGTGTAAAAAACTTCATAGAGAAGATGAAGTAACATGGGACGTGGTGGGAAAGATATGCCCCCTCCATCCTCATAATACATAATTTATTTATTTCCTATCAAAAGCATTGCATAAATTAGTATAAAACTGATAAAAATACAAGGAGCACAAGTGGCTAAATATCTTTTGACCAAAAATGGGCAACAGTGACCGCATTGTCTATAGCCTCAAACAATTCTTTCTCAGTACATGAGGCAGGACATTACGGACAAGCATACAGATACGGAGCTGTCTGTTCTGATCCATAGTCACACAAGGGTTTAACCCATTGCACCACTGGGGGCGCCTAATAACTTTTTACTGGAAAACCATACTCAATAGCTGAATAATTTATATTGCCTTCTGTAATAATCATGTTTTCTTCATTGAACAGTAAGAAAGCTGCCAAGGATATTTTCTTCTTTGCCAAACGACAGAATTAAGAAGCTAATTGACAATTTAGAAGCCAATGTCAAGTGACAGTTATTAAGAAGAATTCATATGTCCTACTATTTTGCTCTATACCGGATAAAAGGACAAACGTAACTGTCTTTATTGTGGGGTGTTAAACTTTTGCTATACTGTGAAGCTTTTTGGCTGTCATGAGGAAAGATATTTAGGAACTGAGAGACAAGACAAGATTATTCCTCATGGAGCAGCAATTTTAGTTCAGCAATTGTTTGACAGATTTTTCCTGGTTAGTAAAATTAGCATATCTGTCAGATATCTTTGTCCATTGAAGTATGAGCAACTGAAATCTTCAAGGATAAAAAGTTACAGTTTTCAAGTTGTCTTGCTTGAGGCCACCTTGCCAATAGAACCTTGTTTTCAGAAAAGACCTTTCAATGAAATTTAGGATGAAAGAAGCAGTGAAAGAGAGAATTGAAAGCAATGATCAATCATGGGGCGGGGAGGGGGGTGGCACATGCATTTCCCCTTTAGACAGTGCATCATCCAAATAATATAATGACCAACAAAAAACAAAATATGCCATTTGCTACAGATCCTATTGCAGAAAAATGGGCAAAATCCAGATCAGTGGCCACGGATGAGCCAAGAGCAGCTCTGCAATGACTTAACAGCATTCCTTCATTTTAGCTGGATGGCCTCACTCTAGAAACCCCTTTTAACACCCATCACTAAGATTTTCCCAGCATGCTTTCACTGCTGATCCTAAACATGAGCTACTAATAATTAAACTCCCCTAAGTACTCTTCTCAGAGACCTTTGGTGAGTGGAGTGGCAGCTCCATGGTGTCTTTTCTGGCCACCCTTACTCCCTCCTATTGGGCTTCCTTTGCTGTCACAATTTTCCTGTAGGAGCCATGCCAACTGCGCCCCACCAGCCACCTTCTTTGTATGTGTACTTTCCTGCCATGCTACACAACCATTCTCTTTGCTCCTCCTTGTTTTTCTTCAGCCAAGAAGAAATGCTCCCAACAATACCCTTCCACTCCTATTCCAGGGAGTTGAAATGGATGGCCTTTGTGACCTCTTCCAACTCTGTGATTCTATTTCCATTTTGCCTCCTCACTGGCATACAGAAAAAGAGGAGAGTTCACCTGCCTGAAAGAGATAGATGGAAAGTGGTGAGTGTAGACTGTTGAGCAAAAGACCCCAGAGCAGGTGGAACTCTGTACAGAGACCACACACAGGATGGTGCAAGTCCACAATGTGGGGAACGTTTGGGAGGTGTAGAGTAGCTTTCCAGGGCTACACCTGACCCAGTATGGACCATGTTGGGGATCCCACCTTTAAAGTGTTAGCCATGTTAACACATATAAGAGAAGATTTACAGTGTGCCAGTTTTGTAGATTGCTTAATTACTACAGCATAAGAACTCAGCATGCTCTAATAGAAGCTTCTCTAGCAGGTGCATTTACATCTCCACGGGGTATAAATCGAACTACCTTAATTACAACTGCTCTAACTGTTAATAGGAAGAGGGAAGCATTTAGTCTTCAGACAAGCGCAGGAAACATGACATCATTATGTGCTTTTGGCTTTGTCCCTAGAGATGAGTCTTGAAGCTGCTTCCTCTGTAATTGACTTGTTCTTGACTCACTTCCGGGCATCTCTCAGACAATCAATCCTCTAAATATCCCAAAGTAGGTTCACCTTTCTCAAAAAGTGAATTTTCATAAAATAATTCATCACCTGGAAATTACAGGCATTAAGAAATAAGAGGTAGGTTTGTTATTTTGCCTCCAGCACCAAACAAACAGAGAAAGGGGGAAAGAGGAAAGACATAGAGATATATTGCTTATTACAGCCTCTTGATGTAAATGTGACTTCACTTGCACACCATGAAATGGAGGCAAGGCCAGTCTGAAGCAGACTGGTGACATCAACTTTATTTTCAGATGACAGAAAAGTTCTACTAAGTGCCTATTCATAATTGCTACATTTAAGGACATATCATGCACTGAATTAATAACAGGAGGCTAGTAGCAGTACTTGAAGTTTTCAGGCAAAGCCCAGGTAAGTAGGTTTAGAACAACACTGCAGTCAACCTGTTCCTATTTGGATTGATTCACGTCACCCATTCACCACTGTTGCTACTCTCACCTCTAGCGCTATGACAGATTTTCAACTAGGTGAACAAAATGGTCCCAAAAAGGCTATTTCCGAAGAGTTTAAAATCTGTGAGTACTTTAAAAACTTCCTTTAAAATATAGACAAAATGGAAGACCTACCATTTGTCTAAAAGTTTAAAGGATTACATAAGACTTGACAATGGACATATATCCCTTCCTTGGAAATCCTCAAGCAGCCAACAATGTCAAAGATCTTTGTCCATGGGGAACCCCGATAATAATACAGGATTTCCTAAGTTAAGAACTCTGTGCTCATGTTCAAATAAAGAGGACTAAAAAGCCTTGTTCAGACCTTAATGCTCAACAAATACTGGTATAAATTATTTCAGGTATCCAGTGAAATCCCCATCTTCAAAGATATCGCTGTATTACATAGTCTGGATCAGTATGCAAAAGGATCTGGTAGTGAGACATTTGAGACTAACTGAGAAAAAGAAGTTGGTAGTACGATATTTCTCAGATGTAAGTTCATTTTTCATCAGGCTGAAATATATAAAAGCTTATGCTACCAACTTCTTTCCCACAGTCTCAAGTGTATGACAAGAGACTTCTATACTCTAATCTCCGTTTTTTCCTCTCCATGGATTTAGGAAAATGGCTGAACAAGGCTCAAATCCAGGGAAGTTTGCATTTGTATCCTTGGTCACATGGTCTGAATCAATGGCAATACACAGAAGCTTATCTTTTTTCATTTTCAAATTCTATTCCACAGTCCCATTAAGATAAGCCACTAGGAAATAAAAATAGTTTCTACATTATTTGTCAAAGTACACAGGACTTTAAAAGTTATATCTCCATTTTTTCACCTTCATTGTTACTGTCAAAAACTCTTCTTTTGAAGCAATTATATTGAAAAATAACTAAAATAATGAAACCTGGAAATTTCAGAGTTGACTGCTGATTAGAATCTGGATTGCTCACATTCAAATTCAGGATTTTTACCTACCGCACCTTGGGGATGTAACTCTTCGCTCATTTTGTTCCTGCTTGACAGAATAAGTAATTTCAGCAATTTATTACTTGTTCCATGAGAATGCCATGATTTCTGTGCACTTTTTGAAAATTATTTAACTTCATAA